TTATAAAGCCCTGAATGGTTTAGCACCTCAGTATTTGAATGAGCTCTTATTGCATTATAGTCCTCCACGTCCACTGTTTTTGTCCTATTTAATGCAGCCTAAAAAATCCTTTAACGGATTTTAATATTAGAAATGTGTTAGTGTGTTTTGTGTAAGCCAGGTTAAAGAGATGGGTTTTTAATCTAGATTTAAACTGACAGAGTGTGTCTGCCTCCCGAACAATGTTAGGTAGGTTATTCCAGAGTTTGGACACTAAATAGGAAAAGGATCTAGCGCGCGCAGTTGATTTTGATATTCTAGGTATTGTCAAATTGCCAGAGTTTTGAGAACGCTGTGGACGTGGAGGACTATAATGCAATAATAATAATAATAATATATATATATATATAGAAACGTGGCTTTCTAAGGAAAGATTGCTATCAAATAGCACACCTAGGTTCCTAACTGATGACGAAGAATTGACAGAGCAGCCATCGAGTCTTAGAGAGTGTTCTAGGTAATTACATGCAGAGGTTTTAGGTTAGATAATTAACATCTCTGTTTTTTCAGAATTTAGCAGTAAGAAATTACTCGTCATCCAGTTTTTTATATCGACTATGCATTTCGTTAGTTTTTCAAATTGGTATGTTTCGCCGGGCCGTGAAGAAATGTAGAGCTGAGTATCATCAGCATAACAGTGAAACTAACACTGTGTTTCCTGATGATATCTCCCAAGAGTAACATGTAAAGCGTGAAGAGTAACGGCCCTAGTACTGAGCCTTGAGGTACTCCATACTGCATTTGTGATCGATATGATACCTCTTCATTCACTGCTACGAATTGATGGTGGTCAGATAAGTATGATTTGAACCATGCTAATGCACTTCCACTAATGCCTACAAAGTTTTCTAGTCTATTCATTTCAAATTGACCATTTATTGCTAAATTATTGGAGAGTACTGTAGCTTCCCAGCTTCAGTCTTTCCTAGTGGCAAATAATCTCTTTGACCAATTCCAGTCCGGCTTTCGTCCGCAACATAGTACTGAAACTGCCTTTGTAAAGGTAGTGAACAATTTTTACTCTCTTGCGACACTGGTTCTCTGTCTTTACTTCTGCTACTTGATCTCAGCTCTGTCTTCGATACCATCTCTTATGATTTGCTTCTCTCTCATCTTTCGGCTGTGGGTATATCTGGTACTGCTCTTTCCTGGCTCTCCTCATACCTATGTGATAGACAGTTGTACATCTCTGCTTGGGATTTTAGATCCCCTACTGCCCCCTTGAAACAAGGCATCCCCCAGGGTTTCGTTCTTGGGTCTTTGCTGTTTATTATTTATATTTTACCATTGGGTCAGATACTACAGCGTCATGGCTTTAGCTAACATTTTTATGCTGATGACATTCAAATTTACACGTCATGCAGGCTTTCCCTATCCACCCAAATTGATCAAATTTCTGTTTGCGTTCAGGATATAAAAACATGGCTTAACAATAATTTTCTGAAACTTAATATGGATAAAACTGAGATCATCATTAGTCACCTTTATTTATATAGCGCTTTTAACAAAACAGATTGTGTCAAAGCAACTGAACAGCATTAATTAGGAAATTAGTGTGTCAATAATGCAAAATGACAATAGTAAACACAAATTTTTCAGTTAAAGGCAGTTCATCATTGAATTCAGTGATGTCATCATCCAGCTCAGTTCAGTTTAAATAGTATCTGTTCAATCAAGTCGACGATATCACTGGAAACGAAGTGTCCCCAACTAAGCAAGCCAGAGGCGACAGCGGCAAGGAACCAAAACTCCATCGGTGACAGAATGGAGAAAAATCCTTGGGAGAAACCAGGCTCAGTCGGGGATCTGGTGGCTAAGGTGACCTCGGAATAAGAGAGAAACAGACTAATAACAGCATAGATGCCATTCTTCTAACGATGTAGCAAGTACATCGGGTGTTATGAGAAGTGTTCACCGGTTCCGTTGGACCTAATTAATGCAGCCTAACAATCCTTTAACGGATTTGAATATTAGAAGCGTATTAGTGTGTTATGTATAAGCCAGGTTAAAGAGATGGGTCTTTAATCTAGATTTAAACTGCCAGAGTGTGTCTGCCTCCCAAACAGTGTTAGGTAGATTATTCCAGAGTTTGGGCGCTGTAATTAACTAGTTATTTGGGTCAAGTTGTGGTTTTTCGATGAGAGGCTTAAAAACAGCCAGTTTGAAGGTTTTGGGGACATATCCTAATGACAATGATGAATTAATAATAGTCAGAAGAGGATCTATGACTTCTGGAAGCACCTCTTTTAGGAGCTTAGATGGAATAGGGTCTAACATACATGTTGTTGGTTTAGATCAGCGGTTCCCAAACTGGGGTGCACAGACCGACCAGCAGGGGTGCGCGAGAGAATGCTTTTGATGATCTGTGTGCATTTTTTGAAGGGGCAAGTGAAAGAGAATTTTACTTGCCCGACCGGACAACTAATCTAATCTAATTAAAACATCGAATTAGGGAAGCACCAAAATTTCGGCAAGAATGATTCTGATTTTATTACACTTGGTGTAAATGGCAATTCATAATGGATAATCAATAGTAGGCTAACAAGGTCACGGCAGTTGAGACTCACGTGAGACAATCTCATGGAGAAACTGAAACAAATGAACACAACTGCACACAGAAGTAACATAAAAAATTTAGTTTTTATATTTATTACATAAAGCCTACCCAGTCAACAATTTGATCTCACAATGATGTCACCATGAGCTCACACGATTCTCATGGTGTGGTCATAATGTGTGTGTCACAGTGAGCTAAAAGTGTAACCACACAGTGCACTCACTGTGTACTCATACTGTGGTCAATGTGAGGTCACTGCACACTCACTGTGCGCTCATACTGTGGTCAATGTGAGGTCACTGCACACTCACTGTGCGCTCATACTGTGGTCGCAATGTGTTCACTGCACACTCACTGTGCGCTCATACTGTGGTCAGTTGACGATACTTTGCAAGCCTGAGGCACATGCTGGAAATATTGTTATTTAGCTTACTAATGTTATTAAATAACATTTTATTAAAACCTGCAAAATCCTTTCTGTAGAGAGATCTAAATTAATACTATAGTTTATTGTATATGCAGATTATATTTTAAGTTGTTACACAAAATCAAGCAGTTTATAAGGTTTATCTCTCTATATACTTTAGAACATATCTGCATTTCTGCATCAGTGGATGTAAGGTGTGCTGTAGGTGCAAAACTTTTAGTAATCTTAACCAAGATGTAGCCAAAAATCAGTACGATTGTAAATTCGACTTCAAACGAGTAGTCAAACACAAGTAGTATCATCTATGTTAATGTGACTGTTTTTGCTCGATTTGTTTAATGAAAATAGTTCCAAACAAACTTAGCAGCAGAACTGTCGCGCATCTCTGAGCAACACACCGTGTTAGTGGTGTTTCCTTAGGCTACTGAATGATTCGCATTTTTGAATTAATCATTTGAGTCAATGATTCAGTGGTCCATTCATAAAGACAGGCGCTTGCTTCATTCTTGAATGAATCAGCCATCTGAACGAATAGTTTGAATGCTTCAATGACTCACTCATTTTCAAATTGAAAAGTAACCTTTTTTGGTATTTTTAAAAAATATATATTTGTAAATAAATATATTACAGGTAAATATATTTGTAAATAAAAAAACCTGATGTAAAACCAAGCTCACAGCATTACTTATGCTGTTGTAATTTTGCAGTGTTAATGCATTCATGCTACATTTCAGCTTCATTAAATTGTCTGTGTAAATGCATCTAAATGTCACTTCAGCTGCTTCTGTTTCTCCAGCAGTGGAAAATTTGGTTTTGTTAATACTGATTTCATTTGATTGGTAACAGCCCTATAGAGTCTTATTATATTAAGTGAAATTATTAATAAAATGTAAGAATTTGATATGAAAGATGACACGTGCATTTAATAAGGTTAGGGGGAAATGCCCTTTTATAGGCAAAAAAATTAAAAATAAAGACCTGGAAATCAATTCAAATTAATTTTAATATGCAGTAACTTTAGTCATATAAAACGTAATTTTCCAGCAACAAAATTGTGGCCAGTGAAAATGCTGAGTGGCTAGTAATTTTGGAAAACCACTAGCCACAGTAGCTGGTGAGCAAAAGAGTTAATGTCAAGCCTTGTATACAGTGAATACTTGTATTTATACTTATATTGCAG